TACAGGCTAGTCTAGATGGGGGAGGCAAACTACAGGTGAGTACAGCAAAGAAGTGCTACAGAGAACTGAGGGTGTACAAATGTAAAATTTCTAACAGTGGACCATGGATTCAAAGCATGGACGTGGAGGAAGGAGGGCTTGGGACAGTATAGCAGCAACATTCTATAGGTCCCTGACACACAAGTACTGTGTAAGTGCGGTAATTAACAGAAAGAGCTGGAGAGGTACAATGCTGAGGTCCTAGTGGAATGCATGAAACTGCATATTATGAAATAATCTTAGTAAAGGGCAGGTCTGGTTAAGAAGTTATAAAAAAAAAGTTATAAAACTACTATGAAGACTAAAGCAAAACCTCTCCTTGGGCATAGTGAGCCTGCAGATGAGGGAAACTGGAAGGTGAAGGGGCAGTGACAGAAGAACTGTATCACAAGAATTGTAGCTGGAAGGTTCCCAGACATGGAATCCCCAAGAAAACCATTTCCAGCACTTCTGGAGAAAGTCCACTTTGAACAACCTGCCCGATTCAGAATGCACCAGTGCCAGAGCACAACAGGATGAGCTACATTAAAATCATCTTTCCCCTCACTTCTCTTTCCCCACTGAGCTGGACCCTGGACAGGTGAATGGACAGCACAGTGAAGAGAAGCTGGTAAAATAAAAGACACCTACTAGGACTCTTGCGCCAGAGCAGACTTCTGGGTTCAAGAAGTTCTGAGCCACAGAGAGAAGTTCTAAATTGTATAAGAGTTTTAACACTGAATATTATACAGAACTGTACCTTCCAATGTCTAAAGTAACACTATCATTGACAAGTAAGCACAAGAATTTTTATTACCTAAAACTAACTAGGAAAGCTACCTGACCTTCCTAAAAGCTCATCCAGAGGCAGAGAAAGACTTAATCTATAGGGACAGTTTGAAGGTATAGGGAGAGAGTTGTTCTCTCCTTAAGCTTTATCAAGTCCCATCCACTGCACATACCAGTTCCACAAATACCCATGGGTTCTCACCATATGTAAGTGCAAAATATACACAATGCTGAATATACAAAAAATTCATTTTTGCTTTATTAAGCAAAAAGTGGAAGTATATTATTAAGCTACATGGAACAAAATTTTATGTTTTACTAACACATGCTTACAATAATCCAATCAAAGGTTTAACAAGAAATCTTAGCATGAATTTCTAATTGGGTAAGATATAAAATGAAAATATCAGTGCTCATCATTTAGTCAATTTCAAAGATACCTAAATTTAACATGGAGTTATCTAATGCTTTCTAGGAAAAAGAGGGAGTTTGTCTTACTGTAATCCATTTTGACTAAAATACATTTGCAGGTATTTTATGGTGTCATAATAAAGACAACTTATTACCAAGTCTTTTGGCTTTCAGTTCAGAAACTCCCTTTGGATGGATTCCCACAACTCTTTCAGCTAAATCCTGCTCTGTTCACTATGTGTTTGTATTATAGAAAAGTTCCAGTATTCTTAAGCTTTGAAGTGAGGTAGCAGGATGCATAAAATGATTAATAAGCTAAATTTCAAGTTTTTCCACATGGTATGGAAAAAAAATCAGGATAAATTCCCTCACCTAACTAGTAAGTAAGAATTAAGGATAAGCACACATTTCACTCAGTTCTTCTCATGAATGCACAGGGAACCCATAATGTTCCTCTCAAAAACATTACTAACATTTTTCAATAAAATGTTAAAATATTTCATGAGAACTGAGATTAAGAACACTATAACAGATGAAAACCAATATGCATTTCCAGTTGTGAGAAAAAAAACTTACAAAGCGTTTACAAAAGTACCCCAGATTCAAAAGAAAAAAAACAGTACCCCAAACTCACCCTAGAGCAGATGAAAACCTAAACACTTTCAAAAAATGACACCTGGGATATAAAAAATGTAACAGCAACCTGTCCTAGACAATAAATGTGAGAAATTACTAACAAAGCACTTTGGAAATGTTTTTATACAAATGCCAATTGATACCAACAATCTATACAAAATGAGCACAGCTGCAATGCTTTTTTATGGACATTCTTAATCACTTTATTAATTACATCTGATAAAGGAAACACTTTGTAAAGCATTCTGAAGGGTCTTAAAAAAAAAAAAATGAACTAACTCCCTACTCCCATCCTGTCACACACACATATACCCTGAGGATGAAAGCATCAACATTTCAAATACTCCAACAATTATAAGATGGGATGATCCTGGAATTTATTTAGACTCAAAACATTATAAACTATTCTGAGACAGAAATAATACTTTCAAAATACAGTATTTTTTAAGGTACAAAACCCTATTTTTTTTTACGATTGTATTTATCTAGGGGCGCCTGGGTGGCTCAGTCATTAAGTGTCTGCCTTCGGCTCAGGTCGCGATCCTAGAGTCCCAGGAACAAGTCCCACATCAGGCTCCCTGCTCAGTGGGAAGCCTGCTTCTCCCTCTCCCACTCCCCCGCTTGTGTTCCCTCCCTCGCTGTATCGCTGTCAAATAAATAAAATCTTTAAAATATTTATTTACTTGACAGACAGCAAGAGAGCACAAGCAGGGGTAGTAGCAGAGGGAGAGGGAGAAAAAAAAAAGTATATTGTCAAAGTAACTCTTCCCACAAAAAAACATACGTTAAAAAAAAAAAAACACAACTCTCTACCACTAAAATATAAGGGATTACTTTCCATATTACTCCAGGCACAACCACAAAAAGCGAACAGCCAACCTAAAAATCTTTGAAAGTTCTATCTGAAAGTACATTATCTTCAATAATGTATAAGGTGTTAACAAGTCAAAAGGTCCACCTAAACTGAAATGCCATCTATGAAAAAATTATTAATCTACATTTTGTAATGATCAAAAAAATGACACTGGAACACATCAATTTGGCCTTCTGATGAGACCAAACAAAATAAGCACTTTTTAAAAAAATCCTGTGTATATAAGGCAAAAGCAAGCAATGCAACCTTATATTCAGAATAAATACTACAAACAGCATTCTCCTTTTAGTAAGCAGTTCCATCACAGTCGCAATACTAGCAGCAAAGTCCAAATATGGAACCACAAATTATTACTAATCCTTCCCTTTTCAGCATGATCAAGTCAATACTGTATTTATCTGTAAATAGTGACTAAGTGATCAAACTTCCAAATAGGTGCTTTATTTAAAACATTTCTTGTAGAAAAGTAATCCACTGTTTCTCCTTGGAGATTCTGAAAAATAGAAAATGTTGTATAGCAAAGATTATTTACAGAAAACAACCAGAAGTGCATTACTCTTCAATAAATACGCTGTACCAAAATCATCCAGTATGGAAGGAGGGAAAAAAAAAGTTTGTTAAACCTCCTCCTCCCTTCATTTTAAAATGTAGAATGATTTTATTAAACTGACAATAGGAAAATGTAACCTAATAATCTCAGCCCTATGAAGTTACTTATTAACCTTTAAGTAGACTTATGATCTATACTTCCTGCACTCCACCTGCCAGCTTCCCTTCTAAGTAGGCAGGCAGTAGGGGTCTAAGTCAGTCCTTACTTGCAACATCGATAATGAGAAAAGAACTTCACGCTCAGGTTAAAGCGGTAATTGTGGGTTTTGTTTGCTTCTAGAAACCCAACAACCAACACAGGTGCCACTACATAATGGGTGCTCCATGAATACCGGTTGAATAAATGGTAGGGTTTAATAGTGCAACATTAGTTTTCTTTTCCCTCTAACTTTAGAGAGCCTCTGGCTCAAAAAGCAACTGAAGACCATGCCACCACGGCCCGCCAAAAGCACATAAACTTATTTATTCATAATGAATTAGACTTTGGGCGTCTCAAAAGAACAAAATACAATCCAAACACCTTTAATTTCTCATTCTTTCGAAAGAAAAGCAGAAATAACACTTATCTTTTAACACTTATTTTTAAACAGAAAATGTCAACCAACTTTTCCTCAAAATAAAAAATTTCACATTTCAACTACATATTCTACACTTGTAACATTGATAATAACCGACCATCAACCCTATGTATATGGTGGGTAAAAACAAAAAAGCATATAAACAAAAACTGCATGCGGTTTGCCAACGTTTTTTTTCGAGTCAAGAGGGTATGTGCCTAAATTTTACTAGCTGTGAAATCAGTTTTCATGTTTCAAGATTCGTTCATTCATTCAAATATTTTACTGAGCACCTACTATAAGCCAGACTCTTTAAAACAAAATATGTCAATTTTGTAAACTGAACATTCAGCACCAAATTCCCCTACAAAAGTTTATCATTTGAAATAACAGCAACTAAGGAGAAATTCCAGTGTTATTTCAAGTACACATGAAGTCAGCCCATCGGGGCTTTTCAGCTATAAATGCGGCATCAGCGAGCCGCTACCTACCACACCCGTTACCAAAAATCCCAACTGAAGCGGCAAAGGAAAGACAACCTGTACGAGTAACACGAGCTCCTCCGAGTAGGTGGTCAGGCAGGGCTTTCTCTCCGGGGCCCAAAGAGAAGCGCCGCGAGACCCGCGAGCGGAACGCGCAGCACGCCTCAGGCGAGAGTCCGGGCTCCGGAGGCAGGGGTTCCTGCCCCACCCCCAAACTCTCACCTGAAAGACCCCGGCCCTCCCCGCCCGCCCTTCGCGCCTCCCCTCCCGACTCCCAGACCTGCAAAGTTTGGGGGAGGGGGTCTTTTCATTTCCATTTTACATCAGGCTGGCGGTTGGCTCCCTCAGCCGCCCGCCTGTCGTCAATTTTGAACTGAGCATGTAACCATTTCTCAGAAGGAATGGAAGAAAAACCAAAGGCAGGGTCCGCAGGAAGACCTCGCCCAGACCTGAAAATGGAGCCGCAGGCTCAGCCCACAGCCCGCAGCGCGCGGGGGGCAGGGCCGGGCCGCGCTCCCCGCCGAGCCCTCGGCGGCGGGGGTTCGAGGCTGCGGGCCCCCGCCCAGGAGGCCGCGAGGGCGAGGTCTGGGTGCCGGCGCGCGACCCGGCCGGCGGGACACTCACCGTCGCCTTTGTCTCGACCGCCGGCTCCAGCCGCAGCCGCTCTCAGTGCCGGCTCCGCGGCTCCTGCCACCCCCACGCCCGCAGCTGCGCTCCCCGGCGCGCTCGCCGCTTCCTGGCCCCTCCCTCCCCGCCCAGGCTCGCGCGCGGGCGGAGCGAGAGGCGGCGCGCGCCCGGAGAGCCCCGGGAGGACAGCGCCGTCGCGCAGCTGCCGCCGCGCCGGCCCCACCCCCTGCCCCGCCGGGGCGTTGGACTCAGCCCGCGTTCCCCGCAACGCGCCGCGCCGTGCAGCTGCGTGGGCTAGGAAGCCCCCTCCTAAGGGAGAGGAGGACCGCGAGCCGGGGTTGGAGCCCGAGCGGGAAAGGACGCGCCGGAAGATGGCGACCAGGGCTGGGTGGGAGCGCACGAGAGCCCCTCCTCGCCCTCCTCCCGGGGGCTGGCAACGGCGGCTCGCGCCCCTTCCCCGGACCGCGCGGAGGGGCGGTGCCTCCGCTCCAAGTGGGACCGCGGACGCTCCCGGGCTGCCCAGGCTAGGCGCTGAGCCCTGGCACCACTTGTCGGTTGGAAACGGTGGAGAGAAAGATGCCCTGAAATCATCGGACCACCAATTTTTATTAATGTAAACGTCAGAATCGTTGAATCTGTCATAACTAACTGGCTTTTATGGCCTAGAAGTTCCACCTGACATTTGAAAAGCGTGAAATTACTTCTCCTGGATCTCTGAGTCTTCTTTAGCTGTATGTTTTATATATCCCAGAAATCAGAAATACCTAAGAGTCCCCATCCAGCAATCAACCTTCCACCAAATGCCTACATTAAGTTTTCAGGCCTACAACACTTAGAATATGATGTAGTAATATATACGTCTTCTTCATCTGGATTGATTATATTAGTACAATATTAGTTTTCTTTTTCCCCTAAGTTTCTAATTCTCGCTTGCTCAAAAAGCAGTTCAAGACCTAACCAGGTCCTTCTAGCTAGTTGCTCAGAACACATATTTTGTGGAGTCCTTGGCTCCCTTTCTTCTCTGATCTTCACCTCCAAGCTGTCAGGCAAGACTGTTGGACTCTCAGAGTAAATCAGAATCAGACCAATCAGTGCATTGCTTCCGTCTTCTGACTTGGATCGTACTTCAGTGGCCTGCTAAATGGTCTCTCTGCCACCATTAACTCACTCTATTGTCACAGCAACAAACAGAACACTGTCTTACAAGAAAAGTCAGCTCCGGTCTCATCTGGTCCAAATCCTCCAGTGGCTCCCTATTTCATTGTCTGTAAAAGCTAAGGTCTTTACGGTGACCTACGAACCCTTGGTTTTGCCTGTTCCCTTCACCTGTCTCACTCCAGCTCCAACTACCCTTTGTTGCTTGAATATTCCAGACTACTACTTAGGGCCTTTGAAGTGTCGCTCCTTTTCCAGGAACATTCTCCCTCAATGTCCGCTTTCCCTCTTCCAACTCCTTTCTCAAATCTCACCCTAACAGTGATGCTTAGACTGACCACACTATTTAAAATTGCAACTACCCCAAACCCAACTCTCATTCCTTCCTAACTTGCTTTTTTGTTTCCATGACACTTTAAACCTTGCAACAATCTTTATAATTTACTTATTTTGTATGTTTATCTCTTAATGCCTGTCTTCCCCAATATAAGATGGAATTTTGTCTGTTTTGTTCGGCTGATGTACCCTGGCGCCTAGAGTAAATGAAAAAAATGTTTAAATCCCCTGAGATGATAAAAAGTGCAAAGAAAAAAAAAAAGACCAATTTTTTATTTTAAATTTGCTCGTTGTCCCAATTTCTATTAGTTAACCCATAGATCCTTATCTACATTATAATAAAAGCATTTAAATTTTCTAGTTACTCTGAGTACAGTGAAAACTTGACATTTAATGCAGTTTTTCTGACCAGTGATATCCTGGTATCCTAGTTCAAAAAAATAGGAATAACATAATAAACTAGAGGAAGCTTTCTGGCCTGAAATTCAAAGGCGTATTAATTCTAAAAATTTCCTAGGACAAAAAACCCAGGAAGTTCCTACAACTGCATTTGAGTCTATAATTACCTCAAAACTAAAAGAAATGTGGGATGCTAAAAAAAAAAAAAAAAGCAAAAAACAAAAAAAAAGCCCAGGGGCGCCTGGGTGGCTCAGATGGTTAAGTGTCTGCCTTCGGCTCAGGTCGTGATCCTGGGGTCCTGGGATCAAGCCTCACATCGGGCTCCTGGCTCAGTGGGGAGCCTGCCTCTCCCCCTGCTCATGCGCTCTCTCTCTGTATCTCTGTGCCTCAAATGAATAAATATTAAAAAAAAAAAAGCCAGAAAATTCCTGAACTTAATATGTCTGGTATGTTTGTAACCCTTCCTTTGAATTGATAACGTAGTCATTTTGTGTGAATGCCTTAAAAGTAGCATTTCCTATCATTTATTCATAAGAGTTAACATTCATTATGTAAACATTTGTTTTCAGGTTTCCCATATGTTTATACCACATCATATGCAACTGAATACCCTGATAATGTCTAATTTCAGTTGCTACAGCTATTCATACACCTCTCTTGTCAATAGAAAAAAAAATCAATTAAGAATACAATTCTTGAAGGATACCTTTTGTATGAAAGGCTGTGTGTATAATTATTTGCTCGGTATCATATTTATAGCATAGTTTCTTTACACATTTTATTTATCCTTTATGATTTAAAACAGTTTAAGGCTACAGATTATTCTTACAATTTAGATTATTTTTTATAAAATTAGACTACTTTTGTTTAAGAACTACTGATAATGTGTTTCATCAATGTCGAAACATGGTTTGTAATTACAATAATACCAAATAATTTTTCTGGAGTTAATATAATGATGCTTTAATGATGACTATCATTAAAATTGTTACCAAGTAGAATCTTGTCAAAAGGACAAGGTAAAAAATAGACACTGTTTATAATTTATTCACATAACGTACACTGAAAATGCTGCTAAAAGTAAACCCAACGGCTGTAGTACAAAGGTTTTTTGTATTACAAACTGCTTTGCACACTTACTAGTTCGTAAGCAAGAAAATGATCTCAACAAAACTAGTGGTATATTTGTGTCATAACAAATGGAGATGTTAACACCAAGAACAACAGTAAGAATGTCTTTGTCTATCACTACTCATGACTTCACATCGCCGCCACATTGATCTGATTCTTCAATCTTTACTTAGTTAAATACATTTTCCTTTAAACATGTAAAAGCACATGAATTTTTCCTAAAAGTATGGTATTAATATTTTAAAATTAGTTTCCAAAATTTAGTACCAGTTACTGCGCACATATAGGAGAGATGGTGTATGGCGTCAGAGTCTGGGGTTCAAACTCTGCTACATAATTACCTGGGTGACCCTGAGCAAGATTCTTAATCTTTCTAAATGTATCTTTTCTTCTAATTTAATGAGACCATAATAATGCTTACCTCCAAGAATTGTTGTGAGAAATCCATGAGAGAACTCAACCAAAGTTCTTAGCCCTGGGCCTTGCACATGCTAAGTGCTGGTAAATGCTAGCTACTATCATTACACAAGCATATAATTAAGCTCATTGCCCTATATTTTTATACTGAGAAAATGGCTCATAATAGGACCCAAATGGGATGGTTTGAGTTCTACATCAAGATAGTATAATATGCAATTAAATGAACATTTTTAAAGAGGCACTAACATTTCTTCTACCACCAGTGGTAGGCACCAGTGGTAGGCACAGTTCTAGATAACAAGGAAGCTAAGAGAAATAAGGCCCAGACCTAGAATAGCTTTATAATTGAACGACAAGAGACATACAGTTAGCAAATAAGTACTTTCAAAGTAGTATGAGCATACTTCCTGGTTTGTCAGGGACACCTTTTATCCTGGCTTAATAGTTTTTTGTGCCCACTTTCATTCTCAATGTGTCCAGGTTTAGACAATAAATTATGTGGTCACCCCTAACTAGAAGTATGTATGGCTTGCTCAGAATATAGAGAAGGAACCATCAGTTCTATGTAAAGCTATGGAGACTTACATTGCTCCTTGAAAGGAACAGTTCAATTGCCAAGTGGACCAAAAAAAAAGGACCAAAAGAAAGGCAAAAGAAAGATTTCATTTTTATTCCAAGTCAAAACCAGAAAGTGTTTGTATACTTGTTAATAGACTTAGTAAATTCCCTTGACCAAAATGTTAAATGAATTAGGTGATTTCGTACTTTTCCCCAAAGATATAATAGCAACACCCCAAGACACAAACAATATAACACGTATTCATTTACTTATCCAATAAATATCTATTGAGCATCTATTATGTACACATATGTCTGTCTTGGATGATAGAAGATACAAAAAAATTTTATAAGCAGCATAAAATCTAGTGGCAAACACTAAATGCCTTAGCTAGTCGTCAACATGATAAGGAGACACAGAGCACATGACGTGTGATTTGGAGAGAGTGAGAAAAATCAGGAAACACCTGGAATTGATTGAGAAAGTAGAAAATGGCCAGTTCAAAGGAGTATCACAATCCATGGACCTTTCTGTGATGCAAGCAGTCAAAGGTAGAAGAACCTAAGTCAAACTTCACACTTTTACCCAGAGCGGCCCCTTGTAGTTCATCAAACCACAAATATTCATTGAATGCCTGCTGTTTGCCAGGTAGCATACCAAGTGCTGTGGGAAAAACTTAGTATAAAGCATGGTCTTTGTCCTTAATGAAATGTCACACAGCAACATTTGAATAATTAGACACAGTAGCCTTATGAATGCAGTGGAGGGGATCACTGAGGTCTGTATTGTCAGAAAAGGTCTCTTAGAGGGAAAGGAATTTGAGGTGGGTCTCTGAGAAAAAGGGAGTAGATCAGTGTTTTCGAACTGTTTATTGCATACTGTTGACCAGAAGTCTTACCTCTAGCATGAACAATCAACACATATTTTTTTGTTTTTTAGGAAGAGAGAGCGTGAGCAGGGGAGGGAGGGGCAGAGGGAGAGAGAATCTTAAGGATGCCCCAAGCCCAGCGTGGAGCCCCACGCGGGGCTTGACCTCACAAGCCTAAGATCATGACCTGAGCTAAAATCAAGAGTCAGAAGCTTAACCA